AAAGCGCCATCCTGTTGGTGACTGCTTTGTTCACCATGCAGTCCACCACCTTGTGACTGATCAACACAACTCGCGCCCTCAAACTCACCCACAAAACAACCTACCTCTGTCCCACAGGAAAGAGGGCACGCAGATTGGAGAGCGCCACAAACGCAGAAGACATGCTTGGCAGCGAGGGTCGAAAAACGAAGGCCACCTGCACACAAGAAGACAACCCACGATTTCGCATCCACTTACAAATGTGGGTCATTTAGCTGACCAAGAGCAATGCATGCACACTCTCCAACACCACTTGTGTGGCTGTTGACAACACATAAAGCCGTCCCAACTGCATTGATAAATGCAGGAAAAGATCACTACCCCTACCTGGGTACGCAAAAAACGAAGGAAATCCACTAAGCCACCCGCCCGCCTGAAACGCGCATTCAACGACGACGGGATCGAAATCAGCCTGAACTTCCCACTGCACTTCAGAATGAGCTGACTCCGACACGCCACAAGCGACCGGTCCCTCAGCAGCTCCAATGAAGGCACCTTCAAGAGACCCTCGTTCACAAACTCTGAGGTCAAACCAACAAATCTGCATTCAGTAGACATGCTGTTCCAGGACAGAAGCAGAGTCACCTGCAACTCCCAAGTAAGTACGAGAACCCACATCCCCATCATCATGATGGAGACCAGATTCACATCAAACAACCCAACTCCACTATCTTTCCCAACGCTCATACACAGCACGCCAGCAAACAGGCAAATCAACCAGACCGCGACATCAACACGTCCATGCTACGTCAGTCGTAAGCCACACACGCGCTCCACAAACCCACAACCTCGTCTTTGTCTCCGCATCAGGTTCGTCCACTCTTCGATGCTAAAGTATTGCACAACTCCGTTCCGCTTGTGACAGTAGATGCACCGAAAAACCGACTAACTTCAATTAATCCCACAATCCACAATACCTTCAACAGCCTCGGAATTAGGTGGACAAAAACAACCACCACCAACACGTAGCAGTAGATTCGCCAGTATCGAGACTCCTTCGGTGATGCTGGCACCTAACAACAACACGTCAAGTCATTCAAGTCTCCTCACCTCTAGACTGCGACACAGCCATCCAACAGACATGTACCCATCCACTGGCATGCTTACAAAGTGCCGCAAATGTATCCAAACACATACGGTTAAGGGGAAGCAACAAACACTCTCCTCGGATCACGAAAAACCGCGAACAAGAAAAGGATATAAAGTCCAAACCGACTCAAATTCCTCTTCCCCATGAAACAACAAGGAGGAATATGGTGTCTAAGGCTACGATAGAGAAACCCGTGCACAATACTGTGCTCCACTGGACCCCGATGATAAGGACAGTTTCTGCGCACACGGTTAACAAAACGACTCCACCTGTGGGACGCGTCGACAAGCCGTTTAGTCAACTCCCCAACCACTGTCACCTCCAACATCTCTGACAACAGCACCCTCGTCGGCCTCAGAAGTCTCTGCAATACCTCCTTCATCGACCCTTCCGACGCCCTCTTCTCCCCATCATCTCTGGTTCGAAGGGTTCCTGGTATACTTCGCAGCATCAGCAACATCTGCAAGAAAAATCATGCATAATATCATTGGCAAGTTGAGATACAACACCCAGCCATGCCACAAACCAACCCCCACCCACCTCCAATTCAAAGTCAACCCTGACCTTCCAGCTCAAAATTGTGCAAATCACGCAACTAGCGCACACCCATGCACTCAAACACATCACAAATTGAGAGATCGCGTCCCGTAGACTAAATATTGTACATTTAACGTGAAGTCGTCCTTTTAACAAGGATGAATGA